ACGATTCTCGAGTTTTATAAAACGATTCTCGAGTTTTATAAAACAATCCTTCGAGTTTTATTAAACGATTCTCGAGTTTTATAAAACGATTCTTCGAGTTTTATAAAACGATTCTCGAGTTTTATAAAACGATTCTCGAGTTTTATAAAACGATTCTTCGAGTTTTATAAAACGATTCTCGAGTTCTATAAAACGATTCTTCGAGTTTTATAAAACGATTCTCGAGTTTTATAAAATGATTCTTCGAGTTTTATAAAACGATTCTCGAGTTTTATAAAACGATTCTTCGAGTTTCATAGAACGATTCTTCGAGTTTTATAAAACGATTCCCGAGTTTTATAAAATGATTCTCATCTTTTATAAAACGATTCTCGAGTTTTATAAAACGATTCTCGACTTTTATAAAACGATCCTCGAGTTTTATAAAACGATTCTCGAGTTTTATAAAACGATCTCTGAGTTTTATAAAACGATTCTCGAGTTTTATAAAACGATTCTCGAGTTTTATAAAACGATTCTTCGAGTTTTATAAAACGATTCTCGAGTTTTATAAAACGATTCTTCGAGTTTTATAAAACGATTCTCGAGTTTTATAAAACGATTCTTCGAGTNAACGATTCTCGAGTTTTATAAAATGATCCTCGGGTTTTATAAAACGATTCTCGAGTTTTATAAAACGGTCCTCGAGTTTTATAAAACGATCCTCGAGTTTTATAAAACGATTCTTCGGGTTTTACAAAACGATTCCTTTTATATTTCTGCGGGAAGTTTCGGCCGTTGATTCCGTCGTACCGATTTTGACCCCAACAAACAATTTTACCCAATAAATTAAATTAAACGGTTTTTGCAACATCTCAAACACTTGTCGGAATCAAAACTTCAAATGCTAAATTGCAAAATCCAAATCTCTCGAAAAGTTCATATGATCTCAGAAACATTTTCTCATTTTCAAACTACCACACAGTACCGCAAAGAGACTGATTCAGAGCTATAACTACGTAAACATATAATAAGATTACGAAATATGGATTCTCTATTTGAATGAAACTGGGACCATAAATTACTAAATCTAAGAAACCAAACAGCAAGTTTCAGACAAAGCTTACCATGGTTTCAAAACGGAGGAAGGGTAGCTAGGGTTTCTTCATGTTCCGCTTTTAGTTAGTTAGCTAGCGAAAGAGACGATGAGACCAGAATTGGCTTTAATAGTCTGAACTTCCGTTAGGGCTAGTGGTTTTATCGGATCGACAATATATCCAAGCCTAACATATTACGGCCCACTAAGTTGAACAAAGTCGATTGTCTGCATTTTAGGCAGGCATGGGCGTTCTTTCGGTTTGATACTTTCATATCGGATTCAGCCTCTAATACTCGGCTTAATATTTTCTATAAACTTTTGAATCGCTTTCAGTTAATAATACTTTCGTTCGGATAGATTTTATAACTTTGTAAGGAATCCATTTTGGATTCAATTCATCTTGGTTAGATTGCTAGAACTTCGGATTCAATATGTTTTTACAAACAGTCCCTGGCCAAGGGATGATACTACTCGCGGGAAGGGACTGTTAAGGCAAACTCTGCAACCTCTTCAAAACTTTCTCAAGCTCGCCATCACTTTGTTCTGCATTGACTTCCCCACGGACATTCTGCATCAAAGACGAGACACAAAAACCAATTTTTCTATGTTCATCATACCAAATAAACAAAGAAGTGGTCCTCTTTCATTCCAATACCTGCTTAGGAGTTAGGAGGAGAAGCTGATTCATATTTAATTACCACGAGCATAGCTCTCCATGATCTTCGAGGCCAGTTTGCCTCCTAAGGGCATCTCCAACCCAACTCCATTTTTTACTTCAAAATGGAGTAAAAGTGATTATGGAGTAAAAAATTCTCCAACCCCACTTCATTTCTTATTCCGTAATGAGATTTACTCCATAAATGGAGTAATCTATTTTTACTCCATAATCACTTTTACTCTATTTTGGAGGAAAAAATGGAGTTTTACATTGGAGATGCTCTAAGGAGATGACACAAATAAATGGAACAAAATATAAATAAAGTCAAAAATAATGACAGCTGTGGGATTTGAACCCACGCCCTTTCGGACCAGAGCCTAAATCTGGCGCCTTAGACCACTCGGCCAAACTGTCAGTTGTTACGATGTTGAAGACTTCTTATAACAACCTTAAACAGTTTTTATTGGCTGTTTCTCCATAATAACACAAACGAAAGAAAATTGGTATTTGTGTTTACGTTTTGCACTAAGTATCATAGAAAATGGTTCTTCCTTTTTTTTAAGTATGAAAATCTTTGTTTAACTTCTTCCACATAGTAAAACCAAATGCAGATATATATTGCAATTTAAGTAACCAAGTTAGTGGTTACTTTTTTGTCAGAAAAGTAACCCAGTTAATGGTAAGATCAGTTGATCAATGACAACTACATCATGGACACGTTTCGAGAAAAGAAAACATTAAAGTAAAGTAAAGTGACCAAGTTAATGGTACGACTTGTATCAATGACAACTGCATCATGGACATGTTTTGAGAAAAGAAAACATTAAAGTAATGTAAAATAATCAAGATCAATAATTCAAAAAAAAAACTGTACACCTTATTCAAGATAGTTTAGTTACAAAATAACTCTGTGAACTGGAATCAATACTATTAATTTGGATTATGCCTCATTGATATATGTGTAGTCCAACTAATTATTTACAAACCATGTTTTAAAATAATACTAACTGCCAATATTTAACATATAGGTATAAACGTGTTTAATGAGATTGTAACTTTCACTTTACTTCAAATTATATGGGAACTCACCATTTTCTATAGGTAAAAACTACCGATTATTTTAATGTGATTGAGTTTGATTTCATATAACAATTTACGTAGGTATGCTACAAACTTGCCTAGGTTTAACCACAAAACAGTTTATTTTAAATATTTATTAAATTTTGATTCGTGCTTTGTAAACGTAGAAATATTTTAGGATGTATTTTTTTACTAATAATTAACAACTATTTGGTTAATATGAAAAAGATGTATTTAAAATATTTATGTATTTAAACTAGTGTTTTTGAATTTGACTCGAATCCACAGTTTAACTGGTTAATCCATTGGTTCGATAATTTGATTTAGATTTTTTAAAATATCCTTATTTTAAAAATCACTAGACATCGAGACCAACCGATTGAACCGATGGATAACCAATATGTAATATTTAAACCTATAAAATTAAGTTATATTTATTTTTGTTATTTTATAAATTATTTGAATTGTTTAAAATTATTTAGTTTATCTAAATAACTTGAAAGACATTTGTTAGAGATTATTAAAAATATGACAATTAATATTTTGTATTTTTTGGACACAAGATTAATTATAATGTTGTTTGGAAATATTTATAATAGTATATTGAAAATAATTTATTGTTGATAAATATAGATAAAAGTATAAAAAATAAATATTAGTGATTTGATGTAGGTTTAGAAAAGTGTATTTAATTTAAAATAAAACTACAAAATAAAGATTAGGTTCAAGTCCAAGATAATGTTTTTGTTTTAATAAGATAAATGTTTTTAAAATAAGTAAGCATATTTTATTTACAAAATTTAGGTAACTGTTATAAAAATTAATTTTTTTTATAAAAACACAAATATAAAAATTAAACTTTTTAAAATTTAAAACAAAAAATATACCCGCCGTTTAACACTTGTCTATCAAAACTTATTAAAAATTAAAACAAAAAATATACCCGTCCAACAAGTGCCGAGCGATTAAAACACCGAATTTTCAGTATACCTTTATTGAAGAAAATACCCAAGTCTATGGCCTAATTAAGTAATCTATAACTCCTCCAAAGTCCAAACTCCAACCCAACCAAGCTGCAAATTGCTACTATTGCTGTTATAACTAAATGAAACAGATATGAGCTATTTTGGTTTATAATAGTTGACTTTGCATATCCATTTGTTATAAAATTCAAAAGTCTAAGACAAATTATTGAATGAAGAAATCAATGATAAAGTTGACGAGAATAATAGATGATATAAGAAAAGCGATGGCTTTAATTGAAAACGGATTATGCGGTATATATTTATTTAAATTTCCGTATAAAGAGGAATAAAAAGTGCAAGGGGGAGTGTTTGGAAAGTTGTACAAGGAATCCCCAAACCAGAACAAGACATCGATCCTCTTGCAGAGTCAATGAAAGCTATCAATAGGTTTTGATGTTTCATTTAGTGCAAGGATATTAAAAAATATGTAACAATTCAAAATTATCTGATTAAACAAATGTAGTTATCATTTCACCCTTCACATTATTGATTCAATCCCATTCATAAAGAAGTGAAAAAAAACCTTGAAATGAAAAAAAAAAATCTTGTATGTTGTTTTGATACCATCAAATATTTGTATCTTCGACCACATGAGATCAAATAAGATAATTGAAGAAAACACAATGTTTCATTGCACGTAGATAGACAAACACAACTCAATTATTATACACAAGCATAGTTTGGTTTTACTACTGTTGGAAGCAAACTAGTTCTTTTGGTAAAATAATTAGTTCGTTTGATCAATAACTATTTAATAGAATGGCTTGAAACATAACCAAAGAAAGAAAGAATAAAAGAATATGATAAGAAGAAAACAAGCAAAAAAGTATTATCGTTTGAAAGCTATAATTAACTTTCATTAAATAGCTTCACATGGAAATAACTGATGCTGGGTATTATATTTTGTGGAGGGTTAATTAACCAGCGCAGCAGACCATTTAATGCTTATATGCACTAATGCATTGTTTACGGTTTTGTTTCATATGTGTATAGATAATGTCATATTCTCTAGCCACAACATATGATTTATTTGTTCAACAGAAACTAATTATTTATCATAGCTCCTCTGCATCCTTATATAACAGCACTTACTTATGAAGCTATCAATACCATTAGAAAAAGTATACAGAAGACATCTAGGAAGTCCAAAGTTTCGAATATGATAAACAAGAACGGTAAAAGAGTTAGAGTCGACTCATCGGCAAGGACGGTGGAGTCGGTGGTAGCTAATCAGATGTTTATAGGGAGATCGTCACCGAGCCACTCGGCATCATCATCGCTTAGCTCATGTTTGTCAACCACGGAAGAAATGAAGGAGGAGGTTGCATCGTCATGGAATGAGGAACCGCAAGTGCTGGTGTTGGCGGGATGTCGAAGATGTATTATGTACGTTTTGGTCTTACAAGAAAGGCGACATTGCCCTAAGTGTAAATGCAACGATTTGATCAAGTTTTAGAGAATTGTTCTTATGATTTCAAATTGGACATTTTAGTATTGGGATATTCTATCTGCATGGTGATTTTTTCTGTATTGTAAAGGCATATATATAAAAAATCAAATTAAGCATGTAAAGTCATGAATATAAAAAGTATGCAGATCCATTGCAAACCGACTCTCATCTTCAAACTTGGTATCTAATATGCTCTTGTTCCCTACCAAATAAGCTACAAGGCTTGTGATGAGGTCAAATCTTTCTTGCCTCTCATGTTCAGTATTTTTTTGACCACGGTTTTATGTTGACAGTGAGATATTTGGGAAACCACACTGTTTCCTGCAACACTGTCCGTTTTTCACCGGCTATCTAGCTTAACCACTTCTTTTAGTTTTACACCTCGGAGAGAACAGATGCATGATACTAATGTGTATACTTGTTAAAGACCCCACCAAGTGGGTAAGTCAACTTGAGTGATTATGATTGTACTAATATGATATTGACTCCAAGATTGAATATGCTACTTTTAAAATTCGTATTATACCATTCAAGGCAAAGCAAGATTTGCTTGAAATGTAGTGTTTATATGATAATTGTATGTATTTTTAAATTACCTGTACTACTATGGTGTAAAAGACTCGAGAATCATCAATGCGATTGTAACCCTGCCCAAACCTAATAAATAATTTTGGTTTAAGAGGTAAAATGTTCTTAAATTTTATTTAAACATAAGGTTTTGAAATTGTAAGCATTTTATTAGTTAATAGTGATATTATATTGAAATTTTATGCAATTTATTAGTTAATAGTGATATTATAATTTCTAATAATAATTAAAATTATAAAATAATTAAAATAATAAATTAAAACGATGTATTGAAAACTTTATGCGTTTTATTAGTTAATTAGGGATGTACCTGTCCTACGGACGGATGAACAAATGAATGAACGACCGAATAAACAATATAAGATATTTTAAATTTTAATTACCTTCTGAAAATCTGAATATATAAAAAATAAACATTAGCTTTCATTATTTATATTTTGTTTTCTAGTCACAGATTATATGATTATTTTACCATTTAAAAGATGGCCATGAATATGTATTTTTTTTTGTTATAGTCGGTTTTGATAATAAGCAGAATGAAGTTTAAAAAAGAATTATGAACTATTTGTCTTCTTAAATTTATTGGTATTTTCTTTTATTTGCTACACAATTGTCTTAAATATTTAATCAAGATGGTTACTATTTACAAATATAGTTTTATGTATTTTTTTGTCCAAGAAAAGTTAAATTCACTGTTTCTTTTATTCCCAAATGTGATGGGCTTTGGTCGTTTAATGTGTTTAGGCTGTATTTTGTTACTCGAATCCGGATTTTGTACAACAGTTAACCGGAAAACGATGATTTCTTAGCTCTCAATGCGTTTCCAATTAACGATGCTGGCATGTCCAAAACCCTCTAGTAGCTGTCAGATCAGCCACCCACAGAGATTTCCCATGGCCATCTAGTTATATAAAGAAGACTTTTCTTCCCTACAATTCTGCCACGTCATTAATTCAGTTCCTCTTAAGCTGACACGTGTCCAAGAAAAGTTAAACTCACCGTTTCATTTATTCCCAAACGTGATGGGCTTTGGTCGTTTAATGTGTTTAGGCTGTATTTTGTTACTCGAATCCGGATTTTGTACAACAGTTAACCGGAAAAACGATGATTTCTTGGTTCTCAATGCGTTTCCAGTTAACGATGCTGGCATGTCCAAAACCATCTAGTAGCTGTCAGATCAGCCACCCACGAAGATTTCCCACGGCCATCTAGTTATATAAAGAAGACTTTTCTTCCCTACAATTCTGCCACGTCATTAATTCAGTTCCTCTTAAGCTGACACGTGTCCAAAAAAAGTTAAACTCACCGTTTCATTTATTCCCAAACGTGATGGGCTTTGGTCGTTTAATGTGTTTAGGCTGTATTTTGTAACTAGAATCCGGATTTTGTACAACAGTTAACCCGAAAAACGATGATTTATTGGCTCTCAATGCGTTTCCAATTAACGATGCTGGCATGTCCAAAACCCTCTAGTAGCTGTCAGATCAGCCACCCACAGAGATTTACCACGACCATCTAGTTATATAAAGAAGACTTTTCTTTCCTACAATTCTGCCACGTCGTTAATTCAGTTCCTCTTAAGCTGACACGTGTCCAAGAAAAGTTAAACTCACCGTTTCATTTATTCCCAAACGTGATGGGCTTTGGTCGTTTAATGTGTTTAGGCTGTATTTTGTTCCTCGAATCCAGATTTTGTATAACAGTTAACCGGAAAAACGATGATTTCTTGGCTCTCAATGCGTTTCCAATTAACGATGCTGGCATGTCCAAAACCCTCTACAGCTGTCAGATCAGCCACCCACGGAGATTTCCCACGGCCAACAACACTGGATCTAATCCAAGACCGACAACAAACGTTAATCACCGTTAACTGCTCGAGACTCCACCTCCGCAAGGGTCCTAGATACCGTATGTAACCACTTCAGTGGCAAAGCAGACCGGAAAGGAGAAAAAATTATGGGAACCGCCATCCCAGATCCGCCGACACCATCACCATCTACAACAATCAACAAGCTTTGGTCCCGTTGACTAACACGCAGTCTTGGTAATCCTCTCCGTCGTCCTCTGAACAGAGAGCATCTCCCATTGACTGCCGAGCCACCAGAGCTTGAAGTCTCCTAGGGAACCTACACTCTAGAGCTCGACTTTTCAAATCATTAAATTATTACATACAAAAATAAACAGAAACTATAAAAAGACTCAATATGCTTTTGACGATGGAAGGAGCTATGACAATATTGGCGGTGGGGACAGAAATGCCAATGGTGGTGGCCGGAAGAAATGAAGGTGCTCAAATATGGTGAGAATAAATATCATCGGTGGTGATGTATAAACCAATTGTCCATGTTCGTTTCCAAAAAGACAGATCTGAAACAAGGAGATGAGAAGGAACAAATTAAGTCAAAGGATAGAAAAAATCAAAGACAAGAAAATGAATGCGCAGGAAAAAAAATAGAAGGCAAAGATCCCAGAAGTTAATGCAATAATCGAATTTAAAAGGAAAGAATCTATGACGGATGAAGGAAATGGAAAAAAAATATATAGAAGAAATTAAGTAAATATTGAACTGTAAGGAAATAGTCAAAAAAAAATTGCAGGAGTAGAGTCGAAAAGAAATCAAAGAAGAAAGATTGATGAATAAACCTATCATCTATTTTCCTTTTTTTTTTCTGTAACCGGAAAACATCTATAATAAAATCACTTTATGACATTTTTATAAAACTAATAAAAATTTATAATTTTTTTTATTAAATCAATTATTCCATGAAGAAAATTTACATGTCGATTAAACGACACGTTGTGTTTTGTATATCGAGAAATTGTTGAACCTTATATATATCTCATTCTATTTCAAAATGATTCATATTCCTTAAAAAACAAATTGTTGCAAATAAATCATTTTTTTTACATTTTTAAGACATGTAATAATGATAAACAATAGATTTTAAAAAAAATTAATTTTGGTTATTGAATATTGATTGGCTAACATTTGTAGAAAATAGCTAAACATAAAAAATAATATATTTAAAGTCAAAATTTAAGATGTTTTCTGTGATAATCCTAAAACATCTAATCTTATTAAAATAGAGAGTAGGTAGTATTGAATATTGTCTTGGTGACCAAAAAAAGTCTGTAACTAACATATATACAAATGTTTTTTTTTAAAACTAACACATACAAATGGTTACTCATACTTTGGTTTTTTTTAAAAAAAAAAAAAAATTAATAGTATAACACATAATATTTATTCTAACCGTTATAAATTATATATAACAGTAAATCTAAGATCTATAAATTTACTAAAATTTTCATTATGTTTTTACTAAGTAAAAATAGTGAAAAATAATAATATTGTTGTTAAAAAGGAAATAAAAAATCATTTTTCAAAAAAAAAGAAAAAAAATTGAAATCATCCAGAATACCAGATAATATTTAAACTAACAAAATAAATATTCAAAATAGTAAAAAAACTTATAAACACCAAAAGTATATAATGTTTTCCTTTCAACTATTCAGTCGAACTAATTTTATGATGATTATAAATATTTAATCATATGTTATTCAAACATATATGTATATTACATTTATTTTAGGATTTTGATGATTTAAAAATATATTTTTATTCTCAAATAAAATTTACATAATTTAAATGAATATCCAAACCCACAAAACTTTATAGAGTCTGAACCTTAAAATTTTCCAAATTTAATTTCAACTTCCCTATATCTAAAAACCCAAAGCATGAAAAAACTCGAACTGAACTCCATCGGTTACCAAGTGTCCACCCCTTCATTAAACACTTAAACATATCAGATAAATATTTCACATTGTTTTAACCGACCTTAAATTATAAATCATCATCATACTAATCTTTACATCGCGACCATGGAAATAGCTTTAATAACAATATAATTCTAAAAACATAACTGTAAACAATATGAAAGCAAGCCTATAATTATAAATAAGATTGTAAATAGTATAAAATAGTTGTTAAAATATATTAAAAATAGTATCAAAAACATAACTTAGAGCTCAAGACCGTTCGACACAAACATAACAAAAAACATCAAAACAAGAGATCTGTTAAATTGAAAACTTCCATTCTTTATCTTTAAGTTTTAATATCGTGGTCAGTCAATCATGATCCATTACCAACATCACATATCTACGCCTAAAACTATTCAAATAAATTTTATACATAAAACTCACAATCCAGTCCTTCTGAATCTAAAATATTACAAAACAAAAATAGCACACCAATATAAAATCAAAGTGTTTTGAAAGGAAACAACATGTCCTCACAACATATATGACACAACTCTTTCATATAGAAATAACTATTGTAAACAAGCAAAATATATCTTATTAAAACCTTCTAAAAATACAAAATTCGTTATTATGAACATCTCTTCCAAATGCAAACCTAAAATATAAACAAAAAAATCATATAAGTAATAATAACCTAGATCACAAGTAAATTATATCCCGTCAGGGCGGGCGATC